ATGAGATTTGAAAATCACTAGAGGAGCACAGAAACAAAACCAGTTATTCCAATACGAGAATCATCAATTTATTAAAAACCATGCTTCAGTTTCTTTTGCTAATGTTATTTGGAAAAGTTCACATATCATCTCAGATACTCCAAAAAAGGCTGACATTCCAGAGAGTAACAAATTCATCTGGCTTTAACCATAGTGGACATTTTCAGGTATAAACATCTTTGCACACTGCACTGCAAGTTCACCTTAGTTGCAAAATCATTGACCATGAATTACACAAGGGAAAAGAAGTACTGTGTGATGACTGCAGAAAAAAATTATCTGGTATTAAAGAATGCATCTTCAACTAATTAATGTTTAATGTGGCAGCTAAACTGTTGCTAGCACAAGAAGCATGAGAGCATGTATCTGGTTCTGATTTTTCCTTTTAAACCAGTAGCACATACCAAAAGCAAACCAAGATGAGGTTGCAGAAAAATCCATCTAGCAGTGTCAAAACTAAATACTATTTAAAATGACAATAGTAGTTGCAGTCATTTTATTCTGCAAACTTTAGAGAACAACTACTTAAAACTCCTTAGGAGTTTCTGAGGCAGTTTGGTAGAATTCCAGGTCATTATCCCAGGTCATTATCCATTCTTCAAGTAAGGGAACACAGTACTATTACAATACAAACTATGCTTTCAACACAAAGAACAGGAATAATGCTCAATATCCTTAAGTTTGTATGCTGTTAAATCTTAGGAAAAGCCTTGACCTCCTGTAATAGTCAAGGTAGATGCAGAGACACTACCCACTGAAGAGGGCTTCTAATAGGAGAATTCGGGGAGAAAAAAGCCATTAAAGCTATTGTAAACACAGAAAGGACGTTCTCTCTGAGCTGCAGGCTGAGGTAGGGAGAATTCCCAAAACATGTTTTGATGTCTCATAGTCCTTTCTTATTTGCCTTTGCCAGTGACAAGATACTGGACTTCTGAGATGATCCAGTCAGAGCTAGAATGTTAATGTTTTTAAGCTCAAGTAACAAGGTGTGTATGTAACACACAGTTCCTCCTGAATAAGGTAGATATGATCGTGGATATACAGTCACTTTAACCAAGAATAATTCTGAGTTGCTGCCAGAGATGAGCTGAATCAGAGAGCTGATCCAGCTGAAAAATATCCACCCCAGTGCCACGTATCTACTTCTGGGTGTGACTACAAAATACACAAGAAAAGTGTAAAAAACACCAGCTGTGGGTGGGAGAGAAAGTGGGACTGATCTGATCCACAGCAGCCTCAGTTTATGAAAATGGAAGCAGGCAGACAACAACTGTTCTTAACTAGAGCCACTGAGAGGTCTAAGGATCACAGAGATTACACTGCATAATAATTATGCAATTAAAATAACTGTGTGACTATATTTCAGGGAGTTGAGAAGAAAGCAAAGCAAAGCTTAATCTGTGCTGAACGTGCTGGGAAGCAGCTGGTAATGCTGCACAGGCTTGGGACTGGCTCTCCTGTAAATACAGAACTAGTAGCACCATGAAAAATTCCATCTCAACATACTAAAGTACCTTGGGATACAAAGCCTAAAACACACACATAATGGCACGTAATGGAGATGTTTTACTCTGAACCATGACTACTCAACACCAACATAAAAGCAGAGGGCTCAAATATTTCAAAAATCAACTCTGAAATTGATGTTTGCAGTTCACTACAGGTAAGGGTAAATGGTAGTGCACATAATGTGATCTCAGCACAGATCTGTTTATGTTTTGGTACCAAATGCCTCGTTTGATTACTGCTGATTATCTCTGGTTTTCTGGGAAAGGCACAGATCTCCTTTGCATACATGAAAGCAAAATGCCTCCATACCTGGGTTGACCAACACAGAAGCATAAACTTTATTACTGCTAACTGGACATGACTGACCCATAAGAAATGTTCAGCTTGCAGTCTAAACAACATGTGAGATGAGCACGTGCTCTTCAGCACTGGCTTAATGCTGGGTCAGAGAGCAGTGCAGAAGTGCCCAGGAAATCTTCAGCCACAGGTCAGCCTGCATACTGGGGCTCAGCATACAGTGGTGCTGTTGGGCATTAATCCACGGCCTTCACACTCACCAGTGTGAGCTCAGGCAGTTTAACATGAGAAATGATGATGCAGTCTTTTCGGCCTACAAAACTTAAGGGTGGGGAAATATAGTGGATATATCTGCAGCATTCAAGGTAAAGAAAAGAGCCAAATGATAAAAAGCAGGAAAGTGTCACATTTGCATAAAAAAGAAAAATGTGTGCATAAATAGCTCTATGAACAGTCTTACTGGATTAAAGGAACATACCATCAGAAGCAGTAAGGTCACACTGCACTGCATACAAAGAGAATTCCAACTTCTGAAGCAATTAATGATACAAAAGGCTAAAAAACAAAACCAATCCCAACAACCCAGTACTAGGCTAATGTGGGTATCAAATCGATTTACTGAGTTCAAGTGAGAATGTGATGGATGGATACAGCTAACACTTCATGAAACAGGCAAAGATCCATAGGCCAAGAACACCTCTGAAGTCATACATACTTGAAAAACAAAATATTAACACAACTTTGCTTCCCTGGAAGAACTAAATGGCAGTAAGCTTGCAATGAGAACTAGAGGAAAAAAATTAGGTGGAACTGAATACAACTCCTCAGCTGGACTTCCAGGAGCTGGCAATACTAAGCCAGAAAAAATCTACCAACTAAAATACATCCTGAGAGCAAACAGCTGGAGCAGACAGATCAGAAATGAAAGCACATGAAGTAAAATTCCCATGTAATTTGAAACTGTATTAATTGATTTTTTTCTGTTTTCCATTGCTGGAAGTAAACTTAAGAGCACTACAATAAAAGCAGGCTCATATTACAGAAGAATAACAAATAGCAGTAAATAATAGGTTCTGACAAATGCAAATACGTGTCATTTCTCTGACGATTAACAATACTGACAAATTGCTAAAAAATCCACAACTAAAACTTGCATCAAAACTATGAGCTAAAAAAAAGGCTGAGCATTCCTCATTGTTTCACAAAATCCCTCAACTATTACCTCTGTTTCACGTGGCATTATTATCCAGAAATTCAAAGTAAAAATAATTTAATCCCATTATAATTGCATCCTCTCCCCCACTATAGTATTTGGTATTATTATTATTATTTTTGGAATATTTTTTTAATCAATAGTAAATTTGGGAAGGGACACAAGTGACACACAGTCTTGAAATTAGCATCAGAGCTCCTGAATGCTGCCCTGGAACGTGGGGCATTTATGCTCTGTGCCTTCAGACAAACTTGCCTACTCTTCTGCTTTTTGTTCACCTCTTAGGAACAGCTCCAGATGCTCTACCTACTTTTTTCTCATGTGTATGAGATGCAGGCTGAGCATGTTTTAAGCACATGAGCACATGCATATATACACACCCCTTGTATATTTTTACACAACCATTACATTTCTCAAAACAATTCCTTCGTATTTGAATTCCAAAGGTTTCTTAATACAAACATACAGATTATTTCTTTTTAGAATTTAATTTGAGGAAGACTTCTTTGAAATAGATAAAATGTATCAGTCAGTTCCACACACACACACAGAGTCACCAAACATGAAAGCCATCACTCACTACTTCTCGTTTGGCTCCTGCAAATATCAGTAACTCTAAGACAAACACACTACGTAAAGCAGAATGTATGTTCAGTACTGCAGTAAAACCAGCAAATAGACTCCAGATGTTTCCTCAAATCCTGCCAAAAACAAAATTTGAAAAAGCATCGAAATCCAAGCAAGTTGGAAGCCTCAATGTAAAACACGTAGGAAGGAGAGGCACACAGAACCTGTAGTTTTGTTAGGAGTAAATTTGTTCTGTCTTCACCTACTAGACAAGAAGGGACAATCCTGTATAACTGTAAACCCAGAAAATGAGAAGAACAACATTCTACATCACAGATTTGAAATCCAGAGAAAATATTCCATAGCTTTTGTGCATGTGGAAGGCTGAAAATAACCAAACTGTGATTTTGAGCCTCATTTTCCTAATTTACAGTTTTTCTCACGTTAGCCTCACAAAATCAAAACATGTAACTGATGTTGATGTTGCATGAGACCCATTTTGTTGAAATGCAAAATAAAGAAGGTCTTCCTATACAACCCTTCAGCAGTAACTGCTGTTGGCTTTTAACAGCAAAGGATTATCAGTATTCTGGGCCCACCATTCCTCCTTTGCATGCCAAAAACAAATAGCTGAAGCACAGCAACTTACTAGAACCATACAAACACAAACAATCACCTATAGAGGTTCTTCAGATGGGCCTCATGTAGGCTAATAAATAACTTATTTTAAAATTAAGACCTCAGTATGTGATCAAAACACAGAGAAGTAAGAAACTTCTGGAGGCATTTCAAAAGATCTTAGATATTCATCTTAGGTGAAAAATTTGCCTTCAGGGTGTGTCAGTCTTTGCTCCTCAGTTAGAGAGGAAGTGGAGGCCAGTAGCTTAGCTCTATTCTGTAGTTCTGGTGGAGACAGCAAGAGGGATGCAAGTACTCAAAATAGCCAGCAGCTATTTGGAAAGGTGAAGGAAAAAAAAAAAACAAACAGGAAAACAAAAAGCTTTCTATCCAACAAAAGTATCATTTTATACTTTGTCTTCCTGCAAAATGTACTACAGGTTATTGTTCAATGGACTGCTTAATACCAACATGCATTTTCAGCTTGAAAGCAATCAACAAAATATTTGTGAATTCAACTGAAATAACTACTTTCTGAACTGCCACTTGTCTTTCAGAAGCATAGCAGCCCCCAGCTCCAACACAGCTCACTGTTCCTTATCAGATACAGACTAACATAACGTTAAACATGAAAGTTTATTGGACCAATACAACTTATGAAAAAAATCCAAGTGTTTACAAAAGCATGGCTTAGGTCGAACTCCTACAGCCAGGATACCCTGCAATCTGAAGGTATAAACACAGTTGGGTATTTTACCTGCATAGCACTCTTTCCCAGCTTAACCACCTCAAACAAAGTGACAGGGTCCCCTTCTCCATTCTGCTGAGGGTGGCCATTAGCTCTTCCACGACTTGCTCCTCTGGCTCCAGATTCAGAACGACCTTTGTCTCCTGGAGACTTCCGAGGTTTCTTAGTGGCAGACTGGGCAAAGAAAACCAGCAGAATGAAAAATTTATTATAGCTATAAGATCTGACATCACTCAAAGTATCCTTACACATCATAGATAGATACTACACACACATTTATTCACTCACACGCATATATATACACAAACATCACAGAACAAGCCAGGCTAAAATAGATCTCTGGTCTCCAGTCTTATCTCCTGTAAGGTCAAAGCAAAGTCAGCTATGAAATTCAGGGCTTTATTCCGTCAGGTATGTATATTTTCCATTATCAGTAGTTGTTGAGAAATAACCTAAAAGCCACTGTCAAGCCAAGGAATTCCAAACCACCGAATTCCCAGTTTTTAAGCATCAGTTCACGTCAACATAAGTCTAAATCAAAACAAACAGACAGTTGACAGCATAACTCAAACTAGATGAATGACAGCAAATTACGGACAGGACAGTAAAAGTGTTTTATGCTGGCATACAACATAAACTTTCAGAATAATGATCTTTGGAAAACAACAAATAATTTATTACGCATATACTTGTCATGTTAACAGTCATTTTCTGTAAGCAGTTATACAACTTTAATGAAAAATAATGTACACGAAGACACAAGTCGTCAACTCTGATAAAATTAAATAATTAAATTTACAGCCAGATTTGGCGGATCATCATAATAGTCCCCTTCCTGCTTTAGAATTCTAAGTAAAACTTTTTCCCTGTAAACCTAGATTGTTTAATAGATTTTTTGAGCTTATAATCAGATGTTGTAGATCCCACTTGTGATGGATCACGTAGTGAACTGTTTGAATTTTTCATCTTATGCAAAAAATCAGCTTCTGGGGGGAAAAAAATTAAGATTCCTGCTACAATCTCATGTGCAAAATCTTCTCTTTCTCCCTGCTGTGAGGCAGGCAAAAGCAAAAACTGCCATCTGCCACAGAACAATGCAGCCGTTTTGAGGAATACTGTTATAGAAAACAACATGCAAGCAACTCTAAAATTGTACTGAGGACAATATTCTCACAGTACCATTTACCTTGAACATACAGGCACCCAGTTTCCATTAAAGCTTTTAGTAAAGAGCATGAAGTCAGCGTTTTTAGTTGCATCTTCCAGGATGAAAGGAAAGGAATCTCATTTCTGGAATAGAGCTGGTAGAAGACAGAGCTGTAGGCTAGCCTTCTCCTTTAAAAGGGATCACCACTGGTGGGGACAGAGAGAAAAGGGCGAGGAATAGTGCAACTGCTTCTTGTAAACAGTCAGTTAAGGACTTGCATACAAATGCAAGATAGAAAGCGTAAATAATGGCAGAATATCTATGAAAAACTTCTTAGATAACATCTGCATTTATGATTAGAAGAATATGAGTTCTCTCCCAATTAAATTTTTTTTTGCAAAGTTTCCTTTATCAACAAGAAAGTTATAAATACACTAAATGTTTGCGATCTACCAAGCTCTGAAGAGACACACTATCACTATTTAGTAAGAGTGAAGAAATAAAAGTAGTTTGATTTAGATACTGATTAGATAATCTGAAGAAATGTTTTATGAAAGTGGCAAGGCCCTGGCACAGACTGCGTAGGGTGGTGGATGCCCCATCCCTGCAGGTGTTCAAGGTTGAGCTGGATGGAGCACCAGGCAACCTGACCTAGTGGGAGTTGTATCCACTCGTGTCAGGGTTTGGAACTGGCTGGTCTTTAAGGTCCCTTCCAAACTAAAGCATCCTATGACTCCATTCCAGAATGTCTAATCCAATGCTTACTCAATGTGGGTGACAGAAAGCCATAAGCATATGAACTAGCTAGAAATACTGCTAAAGGAAAGCAGGAAGGCAAGCTGATGCCCTCCACAGATGCTAACATAAGCCAGAACATGGCCCCTCTATACTCAGCTCCTCTCAACATGAAATTCAAAAGGGCGATATTAAATCCTGCAAGGATTAAGGGAAAACAATTAGGAGATGGATGTGAAATGCACACACCAAGAATGTGAAGCACAGGTAGTCCTGCATCTCAAAAGAGAGACGTGCTTTCACAGGTTAGGGTGGGCCTTCAGCTCAACCCAAAAAACAATGTCCTCAAATGCCATGAAGAGCTTCCACACAGCACCAGCCCCTGCCAAGGATAAGTTGGGCTCCAGTAAACCTGACTACCACTTACAAGCATAACAAGTGACATTTCATGAGATCTGACAGGAATAAATTCGTATCAAATCCACTCTCCTCTGGATCCACCAAACACCCATCAAGATACGGGAAAAAGATTCTGTGCTTTCTAATGGGAGCAACAACAGCAGTTACTGTGTGCCCCATCTCACCTACCCTTTCAGCACCTGTGAGATGCCCAAAATTGCTGCTTTCTACCTAAAGTCCCCTTAACTTGACAGTCACCCGTGGCGGTTTGCTTGTTTTTCATTTTAAGCATCAGTCTGTCAGAATCCTAAAGTTGCTTAGTTTTTCAGGCTCAAAAAGCCTGACTTTTCTTCTGTTAATGAGAGGGATCCCTGAAAAGTCACTGCTAAGGCAAACTGGTTAGCTACATTGTATCTAAATGCATTAATAATCCCTCTTAATGCAGCTATCTGCTGCAAAGACAAAGCAGGACGCTGATGACGTGAGCTAGGGTGTCCAGAGGGAGAGACAAAGAAGTAATGCAAAGTAAGGAAGCTTGAAGCTTCTTAACCTCACAAAGGCGCTGCATGGGGGCAGGAGGCTGTAACAGCCAAAGCTGTGCTTTCACTCTGAGATCCAGGTGCATGGAGTCAGACTGGTGGGAGTGCCAAAACAGAGTGTGCTGAGATGGAACTGGTGTACCCCCACGATGATCAAAGATAGGTTTCCCTAGTTTTCTCTTTTCTAACTATTCCAAAACCAAGTTCTAAGCTCAACCTACACACCAAATACTTTACCCTGTTATGTCATTATTCCACAGAAATTTCTACTAGAAATATGGACATTAGTTTCATTCTCACAGAATTCAGTAGAAGTGACTCTGCTCATGTTCAAAATCAGAAAAATGTTCTGATAAATGCTGTCACAGATACCAGTCTCAAATACATGAAAGCCTCCAAATTACAGTCATATGAAAACAGAAGTTATTAATTACTCTTCTTGGATTTGTGCATTAGGCTAAACTGGCAGCAAACAGGGCTGAGAATTAATCCACGTAAGCATTATGAAATGTAGGAATTTCAGAACATGCCAGAAAAACTCTGAAATGGTCTTACTACTGACCACCAGGTTCAGCTGTTGCTTTATGGCTTACACTAGGGCAAACAGGAAACAAAATCCTTAACTGTAACTAGACTAACATTGTGAAAATTAATAATTCTGTAATAAATAAGCTAACGTTTTTCCTTTCATGTCTTTAAAAAGATTCTGAAGGGAAAAAATGTGACTCACACTTGAATGATCAAGTAATAGAGTTAACAAGCAACAGAGTTCACTGACACTAAATAAAACGAGAAAATAAAATGGCTTGACATTTTCCATTACCACTGCCCAAACTGATGGGAAATATTTCTAGAAGAAATAGAGTAGAATTACAGGTCATTAATTCCACCTGCCCCCCAGTGACAGCCTATATGTGCACTCACAGCACAAGTAATTTAAAGTAACATCGCACTTCTTAAGACAGAAGTTTGTCAACCCTCCACTTGAGCAAGACAGAAGAACTTGCCTCTCAAAGGCATCATCACGAGAAACTTCTGCTGTATAACACTGTTAAGCAAAAGAGCATCTGGTTTGAGCTCTTCCTGAATGAATCCTCATAAAAAGAATCCACCTATCTGGCCATCCAGATAGAAGTTATTGGACTCAGTCCTTTGAACTTCATCACAGAAACAAACAAGGTGCTCCTATTTGGAAAACCTCATCCTGCAAACAAAGGCAAGATACAGGACTACTAATGCCCACTTCATGTACAGCTGCGTGACATGCACAAAGACTTACTCAACTCCAGTTTTAAGAGACAGATGTAAAATATCAGGTCAGCAAGCTGAAACAGGACAGTGATGTATGTCACACTAAACCACAAAACCACTAATAAATTCTTCCAAGAGGATTTCTTCCTCCTGTTAATCAGGATGCATGTGATTTGGAACTAGGAGGAAAACTCAATCCCCTGGAGTATTTACCATCCAGATATGAGACAAATTTAAAATCTCACATATGAAAGCACTGTGGTCTGTCTCCTCCACACCAAAAGAAATAAATACAAAAGTATCTGAAAGCAAAACTGTACAGTCTGTGCTGGGAACAAAAGCATCCAAAGTGCTTTGCTTCATCTTGCCTTAAAAAGAAATATGAGGAGAGAAGCTGAAGAACAGCATGCAGCAGCTTCCAGGACTACGAGATGAGAAACACACCAGCAGAGATCTCAGAATTGCCACCACTGGAACAGACTGACTTTTCTTCTTATCCTCCAAACAAGTCAATCTTTAGCTACTCCCATTTCAAAATACAATAGCTGAAATATTACCACAAACCTCTCTCATTCCTTTAGACCTCCAAGAGCTGAGGTTTAAGCCAAGCAATTCTGAGATCCTGGGGAGGTAAGGCCAGGTAGGTTAATATAAAGCATGGAAACTGAAATTAAACAGCCCTGTAAGACATCTCTGATCCAATAGAGGAGGCAAAAACAACAGATAAATGAATAACTGATCTGAGCCTGAGCTCACTAATGTGAAAGCTACACTGGGGTTTCAAATCCCCTACCTAGAAGAGAGCATCCAATTTCAATAATGCAGCGTACAGAAAAAGCATTCTTTAGCTAACGTTACTCAGCAGCTCCAACCAGAGAACTTCACACATCACTCCTTATACACACAGCACACGATTTACTAAACATACACCTAGTTGGGTATGCTCACATACAGCTTTATGTAAACACATACATCAGTAAATAGCCACTGACTGGACAGATTCACCCGACCCAGCCAATTGATCCTTGGGCATCTGCTCTACAGCCTGGCTGTTCTGAAGTGCACACAGACCAGGGGAGGCCTGCCTCAGCCACACCAGTGCTAATACAGAACATGGTGCGACTCTTTCCAGATTCACTGCATGAGTTCAGTGCAGCCAGATCACACTCTTGAGATTTACTCACCAGGATCAATATGATTAATCTCTTCATCAGCCAATTGTGTACTCTACCCAGTAACATCCTCCTTGGAACTGTCTCCAGAGAACTGGGGGAGCAACATGGAAAGTAGCCCTTCCAGGAAGGAAAGCTTCCCCCAAATATTAAAGTTTTCCAGGAATCAGAAAAATCTGTTACCAACAGATAAATAAATTATTTAAATGAGCTCTATCACTTACAGAAGTGTCCCAACTGCAGTGAGAAAATGTCTTTCTGGAAAAAGAAGGCTGGAAATAAAACGCCAGTCTGCCTTTCTGATAAAATGTGAAATCAATTCTACAACCCCACAGTTAAAATCTTATTAAAGTAAATACATTTGGGTTTTTTTGATTGAGTACATTGTGCACAGCTCTGTAACAGAACAGCACAGAAGAGTAAACTTTCTTTCCAAATATGCTTATGGCAGACCTGCCTCCACAGCTGCAATGACCTAAAGGATGTAAGCAAGTCAGCATTTCTGAGGAGAGATTAATTCTTATTAGATTATAATATTTTAGTTAGAGGAAAAAAATACTGAAACAATAACTATCTTTGGGCACAAAGACTTTCTTTAAGTCTGTAAGAGAAATGAAAAACAAAACATCTGAGTATCAGTTGAGCAGAATAGCTCTAAATATTGTAATCTGTTATACATCTAAGACTAAAGACAGGTAGTAGCTATGGAGGAGCTACAAGTGATGTGAGCAGATGGAGGAGCTGGGGAGCCACACCTCCTATGTCAGACAATTCAGCTGTGCAATCCAGGCAGGACTGCAACAGGGATGAGTCCGCAATGTGGAGGAGGAGGAAAGTGAACATCCAATGTTTGCAAAACCAATGCCTCAATTACTAAGCCCATGATTTTCAATATCAAATAATGTTATAAATTTAAATGCCTAGAATTAGTCTTTCAAAGGAGTTTGCATTTCTCCTTAAGGATGTCAGAGACTGGGTGGCTTTTTCCTTTTCAGTCTGTAGATGATACTTATTTATTCCTTTCCATTGCTGCAGTATGAACTATGCAGGCAAGGTGCCATTGTGGATCCAAACACAAACATTTTGTCTCAAGCCATCACAAAAACTCAGAAAATTTGTGGTGAGGGGAAAGCAGTAAATGTTATTTATCAATTTTAGCCACGCTTTCAACAATTTCACACAGTATGCAAGTTGGGGAGTTGTGATCTAGATGGGCAGACAACAGAAGTAGATGGGTGGAGAAATGGAGAACTCAGAGGACAGTGGCTAACATGTCAGTCTCTACCCAGAGACTGGCAATAAGGATATGAAGGAAGATTACACTGGAATGTGTCTTATTCCACATCTTTATAGATGGCCAAAGCAGGGAGAAAATGGGTTTCTGTCAAGTGTGCAGATGACATGAAATTGGCACGGAGACCACTCACTGATATCAAGGGCAAGACTGCTGTGGGCAGTCTGAAGGACTAGGCTAACAGGACACTCACATTTCAAAATGGACAAAGACCTGTCCCATGGCAGAGTAACAAATCCCTGCACCGACAGGCTGCAGGCTAGTTGGGAAACAATTCTGTGGAAAATAACATCAGAGTCATGGTAGACAGCAGTGTGTTCTGGCAGTACAGGCCATCAGCAGCCTAGTCTGCACTGATGCAACACAGCCAGTACATCAAGGAAGTGAATTATCCTCTTCCACTCAGTACTTGTTAGCCTGTATCTGGAATACTGTGACTGGTTCTGGCCCAATACAGTCAGGGGCTGGGAACACTTCCCCAGTGGGGCTCTTATTGCAACAGCATATGGTGGGAAGACAAGTGACAACAGTCAAGAACTGAAACAAGAAAGGTTCTCATCAAGTAAAAAGAAAAAGCTTTTTTGCAGCAGAAAAATCAAGCAATGAAACAAATTGCTTAGAGAGGGTGCATACTATCCAGCCCTCAAGGTTTTCAGAACCAGACTGGAAAAGCTCTGAGTAACATGCTCTGATCCCAAAACTGACTGTGCTTTGAGCAGGTCGGAACAGAACCTCACAAAGTCCCTCCTACCCCAGTGTCTTCATGACTGACCATCACTGCACTCTTCTCTGAACCCCTTCCAGTCCCAATATATCTTCCTTGTGATTTTGGGTTAGAGGTAGAAAGGAGTCAAGAAATCAGAATTATGCAAAAAAGTCCACATTTTAGAAAACTAGAATTACAAAAACTACTTATTTTCTATTGTCTTCCTTGGTTTTGAACACTAGATTTGCTTTTTTTTTAATTTCTAAAAAACATAAAGGTGACCCTTTCACAGCATCTTGGCCCTCAGCGTCAAGAGAACTGAAGAGTATTTTCAACACTTTGCATGCTTAAAAAACCTGGAGTTTTTGCTCTATACATAAGCAAATGCTCCTGTAGAAACTTGAACATGTGCTTCAGTAAATGTTCTCACAGGAGTTATTACTAATATGCTCAAATAGAGGGATGAGGAATACGTTTTATAACATTCACCTCTCTTTTCCACTCAGTATGAAGGGGGAGTGTAATAATAGCAGTGTTGGTTTACCTTCAATTCACAGACTGAAAGCTTTCTTGGTCAGCAATCAGGTTGCACCAACTTTTTTTTTTTTTTTCCAATTGGAATCTAAAAACGGATACATTCACTAACGAAATATTAAGAATTTCTCATTTTACTCTTTTCTTACAGACTGTGTAAACAGATGATTTCTTCTCTGTACATCTTTCTTGTTAAGAAAAGGTAAGCTTATCTACCTGATGAAAAATATATAGCCTCACAGAAAAGGCGACCCAAAAACTTTCAGGAAGGAGTAAGACTTGCCAAGAAAAGCTCAGGACCTAAAATCTTGGCTCATGAACTCCAGAAACTGGGATGCAAACTGAAAGCCAGGGTGCTTTGTCTACATACTAGACAGAAACACACAGAAACACACGCTTCTGTCCATTCCTACAGCCTCACTAGCTATGCTTAGGAATTAGATTTAGGGTGGATGCTCTTAGGATAAAAAGGAAAACAAATGCACGAAATCTCAGTCTCTCAGCACTATATATTTAGGCATTAATATAGGGGTGAACCTGGAGACAAACATTAAGAGGAGAATCAAAACAATTAATAGCAAACACAAAACTTCCCACCAAAAATCTCATTCCACACTCTGTATTTTAAGTGATGTCAAACAAAAGAACTGCATCACATAGCCTTGAACTTAAAAAAGAGCACAAGACACAACAGAACTTCAGTCATTCCTAATAAACTGGGTAGTAATTTGTAAAAGAAATGAAAATACAAGACCAACCTGCCTTAACCTGTGTGATAGAGAATTGTTTCTGCATCTTCCCATTTATGGGCCAGAAATGGCCAAACAGAGCTAAGAAAAGCAGTCTGTTAGCAAATCTTACACAGCAGACAGCAAAATCATGGGTTAACTATGGTTGTATGTTAGATAAGAAGTCGAAGCTCCCTACTGATATGTAGAACATCAGGTATGCCAATTATATGATTTTTTAAGATGCATTAATTGATCTTCTGAGACATTGTTAGTACTATGCTGAAGCTATTCCACTCACACCAAGAGATGATCAGTTCCTAAGAGGATGGCTCAGCTGTCATTTGTCACTTGAAAAAAAAATCATTACAACTTTCTAGACAAAGTGGTCATGTTCAGTGAGATTCTGCTCAGGAAGAATGTTGTAATATGACAACAACAAAACAGTACAGAGCTAGTAAATTTTAAAATGCTATATGAACTCATTTTTATGTCCCTTTTTAATTACTTCAAACACTTGTATTTCAATCTGATAAATACTTCATACTACAAGTCTTCATCGTTTGACATAGGGCTCATTAAAAGCCTATTTATGTGACCACAAGACGATTAGATGAAAAACAGTTTGCAGTCAATTTTAGATAGATGCATAACAAAATAAAACTAAATTACACATACTGGAGGCCTGCCAGGACGGCCCCTTTTTCTTTTTCCTTTGACTTCTGTTTCTTCAAGCTCACTGCCAGCATCTGAATGTGCAGTAGTTTCATTTGTAGAATCCCTAGGGGGGAAAAATACTAGATAAATGAAAATGATTTGAAATCAACAAGTAATCTATAACTGACTGATTAAATTTTTAGTCCTAAATCAGGAAAAAAAAAAAAGCATTAAAAGGCTTGCCACATTTATTCTGCAAACTAAGGAACCAAGCAATGCCACCCCTGGCAAAAGTCCTTACCTTTTATGGGCTGGAGTGTCATTTTATAGACTGAAACTTATTTTAAATTAACAGCTTCCTTTGAAATCAAGTTGCACTTCAAAAACTCACTATATTAAGCAGCACATTGTCAACATACCCATCCTACACAGTATATTCACTAGTATCAGCTTTCTTTTGTAAGTATTTTTGAGCTGCTTTTAAGGTCAGAAAGAAACCAATCGGGCATCCGATCTGGCTCCCACATCGTTAGGACAGTTGCACAAGTTCCCACAAGGGTTAAATCATGTTTTTAATCACACTTGAAGACAACGCCATTGTGCAGCTGTTAATAAAAAAGGATTAACAGTGACCACGAGGCACAAACCAGAGGACTCACTTCAATCTTAAATCATTGAAGATCCTTGTAGCTAGGAAAATGCTTCCACTTGTGCAATAATAACAAAAAACAAACAAAAGAAACCTCACAAAACTCAGATTATTAGCAGAGAAGCCCATAGTAATTGTAGCAATTCCTGGTTTAGACTAAGGCCATACTCAGTAGGGAAAAACATTCATTACCTCCAATTCCTCTTCTTTCCCCCTATAGGTCAGGCCCACATGTACCTGCCTTCAAAACAGACCTGGCTGCTTGAAGAAACTCAGCTTTTAAGTCATGTTCCAAGACATTACATTTTGCCCAAGACAAACCCACAACCAAAACCATCTGTTAATGATGTGCATTGTTCTTAGTCTGCAAGACCAGCAGTGCATGACATCTCCACAAATGAAAGAATACCTGTAGTAATGTCCTAGGTTATTCAAAGCTGGGTCAAGTCTAGTTCTAATCACAGACTTCCTTAAAGGAATATAATTTTCTTGAAGTGAGGGCAGTTAAATTGCACTAAAACTTGTACGGAGGGAAGGGGAAAAAAATCACATCTATTCCATTAAATTATAAACCCTCCAGTATAAAAGGCATTAGTGATCTGGTTTGTGGAAACTGAAAAGCTAAGACCTACACAGATCTTCCAGGCTGTCAGTGATTTTTGTTCATTTGTTTTGTTGTTTCATCAGGAATACCAGAAAGTTGCTGCATCACCAAGAAAGCTATTTAGTAATGCAGAAAGATGCAAATATCACTATATCAGAATCAAAAATCTTCTTGACACTTGTCTTGACTGAAATTAGTGTATTTCCCTAAATTAGCATATTCCCCCTCTAACACAGATGATTTTGTGGAACTATGCTGAAACTGTAGTATTTTGAGGAATTATTTTCTGACCTTTTCCAGTGTACAAGCACAGGAACACCATGCAGTGTACATTTACAAAAGTTGGAACACAGAAGAAGACACAGCAATCTGCTTTCCTGACAGTAATGCTGATGGACTACCCTGCAATAGTCTACATATCCCAGAAACGCATGTGCCCACATTCAATACAAACTGTATTCAAGCACATTCGGGTTTTCAGATTGCATGTTTTTCTATGTTTTTATTTCTACAACTTAAACTGAAGTTTAGGTGTGATGGAATTAGAGAATTAACTTTTCTGCTCCTTAAGCAGGGAATTTGAAAAACTCAACATCGAGATATGAATTTGAATAATAAATGAAACCAAATGAAGGAAAAAAAAATCAATGAAACCCCACAACAGTTCAAAATGACTTGGTTAAACAGTTTCACAAGGATGAAAACCAAATCAGCAAATACAGATAAAAACAAAGCCTATGTGGATGGATGTATCCAGGCCCTGCACATGCTACAACTCAATGTGCAAAACATGCATTTGCCTCACAGTGACAGCTTTTTTTTTTTTAATAACTTCTGAATGCAGAAGAGAGGAACATACATAAAAATATCTGCTGCATTCTGTTGCTGCAGATAAATTAAAGCCATTCACTCTTGCTCTGTGTAGAAAAAAACAGCTGCTCTCATCCACACAGAACCCTAACAAAAAAGTATCAGGCATGGGGTGGTCCAAACAATACCACATTTCTGTGGAAATGCTTTAACTTTGTTAGCTTACAAAACCACACACCTAATGTCATCAAGACAAATATTTTTCTCTATTAAAACCAGATTCAGCAGTCTGCCATGACAAATGGCTCTAGCACTTTCCCGAAATGCTGAGTTATGGAAGGAAATAAATCAAACCATGCTGCTATTTTGCATGCACCCAGTCCATGGACATCTTCATTTTGCTACACCAGTGTCTGAGTCTAATTCCATCTATTGAAACCTGTGTGTTTAGCAATTGCTTCAGAGCTCTACATATGAAATGAACATTTGAATAATTACTAACCTTTTCACTTTTCTGCAGTCTCAAACCTGATAAGCACGCTTCTCTGATTCTCCTGTTGAAACACCTCTCATTTGCTGGAAGCTTTTTTGGAGAGTCCCGAGAAATCAGTGAGGTAAGATTCATTTCATCTTACTTTTAGATGTACACAATACACACACTGAAAATCTGCAATATACCTTATGCTAAAGTCACTGTCCAAAACAGGTTAGACAATTTATGAGTTTTCTTCGCTCCACTGATGGTAAGGTGGTCTAGACAAGGTTCTCAAGTACAAACATTCAAAATTTTAAAAAGACCAATCTCCCTCTAACACTAAGCGGGGAAGAGAAAACATTTCTTAGTACAGAGAGCATAAGCTTGTAACAGGGGAACAAATTAATGAGCAGATATCACATTTATAGAGAGGGGTGACAAAGTCCTTGGCTGACTTAACATGAAAACAAAAACCTGCAGTATTTCCAGAAGCAGGGAGTTCTGTTGGAACCATGCAGCTCCTGGACAAAAAGGCCCTTGCACTGAGGCCTAAAGCTCCTTCAGTGTGTGGGAGGAAGTGCTTCTTGCTTCTACCGAAGCCTTACAGCTGCTCTGAATACACACACCCATGTTCCTTTCTTCTTAGTTATGAACTCAGGGGAGGAACAAAGCATCTCAGAACTGCTTGCAGTTCTGTCAGGTTTGTAACACTTACTGAGAGGAGCATCTGGCCAGCATCCATCTCTCTTGTTCCCTACATGTCTTTTAGAGCCGCTAGGAAGTTATTTTTCCTGTGGCAGTCTCCTGCAACTTAACAGACCAGAATTATCCTATCCTTATATTTTATGTGTGTGTGGCTCGTCACCTGAGAGAAAAACCTAGGCTCTGTCATAACTTTCCATTTACCTTTCCTGAAGCTGTTGGGATGGAAAGTGGGCCTAAACAGGCTGCATGAGAGGAAATGTAGCAGTGCTGAAGGCTAAGTTCTTCCTCTCCAAGACACCTTGAACATGGCAGAGACGTGAGAGAACTTGGCAGAGCGTGAGGAGACCTACAAGACCAGGCTGAACAAAGTAAGGAAGAGAACCTCTGTGAGGAACCTAAGTATATTCTGCCTTTCTTTCTGGTTTCTGTGGTGGCACAGGCATTCTAGAAAACTTGGCAGTAACTCCAGAATGCCTCCTAAAAACTCTGGATATTATTCTGAAGTTGTAAATCCTGGCTAATGAAACTAACCATGTGGTAATGAAGAATTAATGGGTTACTCATCAGTCCTTTGCTATGTCATGCTTCTAAAGAAAATATTTCCGTCGATACAGTAAATTTCAGACCTCTGCAAAATAAATCAACTGAATTAAATTTACCTTCCTTCTACTACTACACAAAGCCTTAGCTGTGTAATTCATACCATGCCCTTAAAACAAAACTAAAGAAACAACCACAGCAAAAACCTATGTTCGTATACCAGTTCTAGTAAATAAAAACACTTCTGTAGACCTTGTCTGTGTTGTTGAGGTGGCTCAAGGTTCTGGGAGACATAAATCCAGTAATTGCTACCACCAGCCTCAGCCTCGTGAAGAAAAGCATTCACAAAGAAAAATGGCTAAATGCACAGGCTCATGAATCATGGATGAATCAGCTCTCATGGTTGATCTTCAAAATCTGAGAGCATGCCTCACAGCAAACATGACTCATCCCACCGAGGCACGGCTTTCAGCAGTCACCTAGGTCACATAAACCAGACAGAGCACTGTGCTACGTCTGAAAGATGGATACGTAGCATTCTGCCTTCGTGACATTCTGAAGCCATTTCAGTGAATCCAGAAAAATTAAAGATTTCACCTTTTTGTGTCCCCTCAAAGGGAAGAATTCTGAGAGGGAATAACTGATACTGTTTTAAGTAAAATATATTAACCTAACAAATCGACTTTCAGACTCTTTGTCTAAAAGGACGGCCTTAAAGGTTGGTTTAGTTGTTTTAAGTTGCCCACTTAAGTAGACCACAGTATGGGTGGTTTACTGTCACCTCAATCATCTCTGGATTGAACAGAACTTCAAAATCAAATGTCCCTCACACTTCTCAGCTGGCGTGCTGAGTAATAGAATCTACTAATATGCATTATATAACCTTAAATTCTACGCTGTTTCATTTGCTTCTTAAGGCTATTTAGACTCGTGAACTGGGAATGGGAATATCCCTTTCCCATCATCACAGTGACAAAACGTAAAAGCTTTCTGTCCTAGGCACATTTCACAAACACACTGTTACTTGAACATGGCACACACAGGAAAATATTGAGAGCATCTCCTGGAGCGCTGCCGCTCGGTGGCACCCATCACAGCCACCCACTGCCGGCTCACCACAGGAATTAGCTTCTCTCTGAAAATGGCTTTAAAAATACAGGAGATAACAGCAATGCTGGGCATACTATTAGTAAGGTCAAATAATTTCACAGTTGCTGAAACATTCAGATTCTTTAAAGGGACTTAAATCTGAGGTCAGGAACGTCGCAGAAGGAAGGCTGTTTCACACGCAGTGCTAACTTCCACGTTCACCTCTCCATTCCTAACAAGTCACTGATCGCTGACTGCTGCAGCACTGAGGAGGCGCGGGCACTGCAGCCGGTTGCAGCCAGCTCTGTGAGGCGCGGCTCAGCCAATCAGCGCGGCCGGCAGCAATGCTGGGGGCGGGTTTTAAAAAGGGCGGGAAAAGGACTGTGAGGAAACAGCACTGCGGGGCTGGCTGGACCAGAACACGTGAACGCCTGAGGCTTTTTGCACAGTACGTACAGCTCACTGGAAGAAAAAGTACTCTCCTGGAATACACAAAAGTGCTCAGTTGTAACAAAAGCCCATTCCTATTTCTGAAATCTAACAACATTAAGAAGCATAAAAGAAGCAAATACTTGTTTTTGCTTTTCACATCAAAGTAAAATCTCCATATAAGGAATCATCCTTTAAAGGAAACCCTTAAGTTTTATAGCCTATGACAACACACAAAGTCTGGAACACCGGTCTGTTCCCTGCTCACTTCTGCATTTTGAAAGCTGAGAAATTCAAATACATAAAGAAGTGCATACTCACTGTAGTACTGGCAAATCTGAAGTAATCATTTTTGCAGCACTCTCGAAAGTAAGAGCTACATAGAACTTCTTCTCAAAGTTATAGCAAGACAACTACTTGGAAACCTCTGTCATGAAAAGAATGTCAAAGTCCAGTCTGTAAAAAAGAGAAAAAAAATGTTAGTTGTGATTCCAGAACAGTCATACATTGAATGAAAACCACTGTAAACACAAGTTCTGCCCTCAGTTTGAAGCATGATCACTATTAGTCCACTTGAAGCTCAGGACCGGCGTCCCCAGGACAGCAAAACCATATTCCTGCATTCCGTGGTTCCACTTCTGCTTAGGGTTTTGCTTCAGCTGCTGCTTCAGGGCTTTGTATTGTGTAATCAAAACAAAGTATTTTCTATTACCTCCCATATGCATTTACTGTAACTAATATAAAAATGCAAACAGAACTGAGAAAATTTTAATGAACGAGATAAATATATGAACGTGAGCAACCAGAAAGCATGTTGTGATGTACATTGAAGGAATCTACTCTCTCTTCAAAGAACAATAGAATAAACTTGAAAGATAAAAGTTTGGTTTCATAAGAAACTGCCTTTTTTAGTTCTGAATAAAGGCAGGAGACCCACACCAAAACACAGAAGTTCTGATTTAGGTATGACAACAACCCTGATGATATTCCCTTATTTGAACTACAGCTCTAAAATCGGACTAACAGGCTCACAGATCTACATGGCTGAACTTCAGAGAAGATAAATCAGAAGCTGGACAAGTATCAAGACGCAATAGGAAATATTTAATGATGAAACCAAAGTTTAAGCAATAAATCAGACTGCACGCATGGCACTGCTAGGCCTACTAGTAATACCTCTGTAGCAGAAGACTGACCAAGGAGTTGACTTGTGACAGCAGCGACTGCCATTACATAATGGGGCAACATGGCAGATGTGCTAAATCAAGGCAGAAGCATCACACTATCTAAACAGTACTACGCTAGTGTAAGCAAAACAGTACAACATGTAAAATACTATTTGCATCCTTCTACATCAATATTTATTTAACAAAATTGTAACTGTACAACGTGAACAGACTTCTTTGCCTCTGGTTATTACAGTTCTAATTAGACTCACAGATGCATACAGCTACTTCTACCAGCACTTACTACTTTATGCTATCAACAGTTTTACTTACAGCATCTCATCACCGTGTCACCATGTCGTGTACACCATGAGGTATACATTTTTTTTCACTGGAATAACTGTCTTAGTTAGTAATACGTTCCCTTTATTTTAAACACAATAAAAATTTTTAATGCACACACAAGCTCATGTACTTATACACATTCCTTCATATGCTAACTATTGTTCAAAGGAAATCTATCCATCGTGCATCGACAGTTTGTTTTTATCTAAATCTGGAAAGATACAGGGCATCAATCTCACTTCTCAAAAGAAATTTCAAAAGAAGTTCAAGAAAACTGCGGCTTGGAAGGCAAATGGTATCCTGGGCTCCATCAGAACACGCATGGCCAGCAGGGACAGGGAGGTGATTGTTCCCCTCTGCTCTGCTCTTGTGAGGCCCCATCTGCAGTACTGCGTCCAAGTGTGGAGCCCCCAGTACAAGAAAGACAGGGAGCTGTTGGAGAGGGTCCAGAGGAGGGCCACAAAGATGATCAGGGGACTGGAGCACGTCCCCTATGAGGACAGGCTGAGGGAGCTGGGCTTGTTCAGCCTGGAGAAAAGAAGGCTGCAGGGTGAGCTCATTGCAGCCTTTCAGTACCTAAAGGGAGCCTACAAACAGGAGGGGAATCAACTCTTGCAAAGGGTAGATAAGTGCAGGACAAGGGGAAATGGTTTGAAGTTGAGGGAGGGGAGATTTAGGTTGGATGTCAGGGGGAAATTCTTAACAGAGAGAGTGGTGAGGTGCTGGAACAGCTGCCCAGAAAGGCTGCAAATGCCCCGTCCCTGGAAGTGTTGAAGGCCAGGTTGGATGGGTTCCTGGGCAGCCTGGTGTGGTATTAAATGTGGAGGTTGGTGGGCCTGCATGTGGCAGGGGGGTTGGAGCTTCATGATCCTTGAGATCCCTTCCAACCCTGGCCATTCTGTGATTCTGTGAAAACTCATGTGTATTTCATGTGCAGCATTCTCTACGGACATATAAGGCACTCTGGACATCTGTTACGTAGAGTTGGTTGGTTTTTTAAAAATCTTTAGTTTATTTTTTTAACTTAGCTATCATGCTCAAATGTATTAACTAGAAAGTATGCTTGCTCAGATACAATTTAGTAAAAAAGAAAGTATGGTATTAAGTCCATAGAAAGTCCAAGGGAGAAGAGGTGAGCTCTTAAGTCAGAAGAGACTGAAGCACCAAGGAAGTTGGACACACAGCCTTGACACACTGTGAGTGCAGGACAGCCTGACACAAAGGTGACTGTGGGGTCCTGTGGTATCTTCCCCAAGCCTATATGCTTTACAAGAAACTGCAAAACAATGCTGGAAAAAACCCAGCTGTACGTGGTTAGGTCCAGACTCAGACATCTAGAAGACAATGAAGTTGCCCTTCTACTGTCTTGTGCTTATTTAAAGGCAGTTAAGAAGGATTAAGCCAAGGAGAGCTAGATATAAGAACTATCAGCGCTGGCAAGCTGGAAAATGAACAACTAGAAGCCCAAATGGAAAAGTCACAACCCTGATTAATTCTTGGGACTGACCAGCAGTGGCATCTTACACTGCATGGAATGCCACTACCCCTTACATGGCCCAAGCCAGCTGTATCCTTCACCTGTACCCAACACAGCTGTGCTGGCTGTTGTTCTCAGTCTTATGTCTTTCTTCCTCAGTTGAAGCTAGGAAACCCTTAAAAGCCTTGTGAAAATCTTGCAACTTCACACAATGGTAAAACTGCTAAGCTCAAAGAAACACCACTCTTTGTTTCCAAAATTCAGTCTCAAATTATCACCCATGTTGCTCTGTCTTGGTTTGGAAATGAAATGTAAGTTACTACAGGGACTAATAAAAAGTCCTATGTGCTTGGAACAGAGTTCTCAATTTAGTCCTGTAATTAAAGCAAGTTTGACAACTGTAGAGAAATCACTGATCATTATGGACTGGTTTTAATAAAAGCAATACCTGCTTCTCAAAGATGATGCTTTTATAAAATGAAAAAATGAAACTCCCCCATCCCCCTTCTGTCTCCTTCGGTCACATAAAGGCAATTACATACACTCTTGAAAGCTTGAGACAGACTCCTATTTCTGTCATTTTTTTTCCTTACACGTTGCATAGGAAGAGTGGAAGAGAAGAGTAAGGTGTTATTTACACTATAATAAACATGACACAATTGATTAAGTCCTTATAAAATGCAGCCAGCTGCTTCTATTGCGGGAGGGTGGGTTGCTTTTTCTTAGTGTGATGTTTTCTCTTAAGCCCAGTTTTAATGCTCTTAGCATGGTTGCAGCTCTTTAAACGTGCATACCTGTGCTCAAAGGTGACATCAATTTATGCTGTGATAGTTAAAAATGACCAATAACAGGACACGAAGCAGGCAGTAATAGACCATTCAGTTAAACATATGTTGGGGAAACAAGTAAATGTTTTCACTTCCAGTTGTTTTATTGTTTGTTTTTTTTAAACAACCTATAACAACCAATGCACAAACCACAATAGCCATTTATATAATGTTCATTTTTTATAATGAATGTTAAATAAAACTGTATTTGAAAAAGCACCTCTTCCTGTAAATGATCAGTTTTGGCAATTTTTCTTCAAGTCATATCTCACGAGGAGCTCAGCTTTCAGAAAAGTCATATAATTTTACAACATTTCATCAGCATTTTCTCTAGTTCCTAATGATAAAAACTATCTACTTTTTGCAGTCTTTAGATAATTTGCCTCTCTGGTGCTGAAGTAAAACACCATTTCAGCCAAACTAGATAAACCAACAGCTGAACCTGACCTTGAAAGTAGACAGGTTTGGTTGCTGCCTGAAGCAACACAAGGTTCAGCTGACCTTACTACATACCATGTAACTACATGTTATAGAGCTGAAGCCAAAGCCTAAAACAAAAACACACACAAAAAAATAGGAGTTACATCATTACTAACCCCATCGCCCAGAAGATAAGCAAAATAAAAGATAACGAGTATCTGATTTACTCCCATTTTCAAAACCCTTTCCTTGTTGACCAAGTGACTTCGTTCCAACTTGGTGGAAAAGATATTCAAACAGTGGCTCATTCTAATGGAACGATATCTTCAGCTATTGAATGGGTAACATCTATACACCACAGCTGCCTCTTCCATTTGAAATGACTCTTTCTCCCTCCATGCTTGTACCTTTTCTTTCAAGTTTAAAATCAGTAAAGCAGTACACTTCATCATTCTGTTAAGGTTCAAAGGAAGCTTGAAAGCTCCAAACTTCTGCTTGTGCAGAGAAGCTACACATGACGGTAAGCTGTGACGCAGCACCAGTGACACTCGAGCTCTCCATATTCAGTTTAGAGCCAAGTCTTGTCCCCTCAGTAATGCCACCCAACAGAGGTGCCTGACAGCCACAAAAGGGCTGCACATCAGCAGCAAAGGGCAATGCTGTTAGAAAGCAGCATGCTGCACTCCCACGGAGCACCAAAAGCTTTGATCAACCAAGGTGAGAGAGAAGGAGGCTCTTGCAGGCAGGCAGATGAATTCCAGCATTTTACTGCTTTATCCAACCCTGAGCATGGCCTTGAGCATGCTGCTTAAATCCCTCCTGCTCAGCTGTCCTATTTGCAAAGTGAGAATAATATTTAGGAATTTCAAGTATAAATTCTAAATCTTCAGGGGAAAAAAAAAAAGTTGTGAGGAACTAACAATATAACCGATTCACCAAGTGCTGCGATGTGTTCTTCATTATTCATCGCTATTGATCTTGTGGAGGGCTTTTAAGTTTGCTGTGGATTACCTATTTCTAAAAGTGTATGCTTTATTTCTGCTCCAGGTTTGGAACTTGAAGCAATAATTTGTTTACCCTGCAGCCATTTAAGCTGAAATCTATGCTAAATGACATCTTCCAGACCTAACTTTGAATAGAATATTAGCATAATAATTAAAGGGCAACCAATACAGCTTAGCTAGCTTACCTTTAAGATAATTTCACTGAAGTTCTTTTACACAAAAAATGCATCACACTTTTAACATACAAATTATACTGGCAGTGCTTGCCAGCACTCACAGGCCATGACCGTCCTGCTCTGCCCAAGCTCAGGGGATGTGCTGGTGTGTTGGGCTGAGGTCCCCAGTAGGACAGAGCCACAGGCATAGTGTTGTTTTGCAGTGAAGGAGTGATTTTGAAGTCTGTGGCATCTGGTTGAAGACAGTCCGTCTTTTCCTCAATTAACTTCAATAAGAAGTTAATAAGTAAAATGAAAAAAAAAAAAAAGTAGGCTCCCAGGGAAGCTGAGAAGTGTGAAGCCAAGAACAACACGAAATGAAAGGTTTTAGCAGATGTCCATTACCATGGACTAAGGCTTCATACCCCCAATTCTTTAAGGATATTTCCAGATGTGTTCCATAGTGTGGGGAAAAAGATTACCTACTGGTAACCTCTTGCAGCCCCTTTAAAGTAGTGTTTGATTTCACTTTTCTCCTCAGTTTATCTACAGTTGCACCAACTTGTAGAGCTGACTCTAAACAACACACAGAACAGCTGTTGCTGCTTCCTCTCACCAAATGCTTTTAGCTTAGAGATGTCCTGCCCAGCCAGCCAGAAAAATAAGTCTCACTTTCCACTGTGCAATATTCTGCACACTTCACAATTACGAATGCAAGACCTCACACTGAAAGGTTACACAAATCACTTCTTGCAGAGCTGGGGATAAAATTCTTACATGACAAAGACCTCCAAGCATTAAGTCATACTACTACATTCCTCTACTCGGTTTTCTGTCTATAAAAATGTGTGTACTGCCAAAAGCAATCCATTTCTCTGTATATTCTGCCGGTACTTCCAGAAGGGAGCAGCTAATTCCTGCATGATGAAAGGCCTGTGCTACCAAGATTCCATAGAAAAGATGACAATCTGTTAGCCGTGGTTTTAACAGCTTAGTTCACAACACGCATCACTCAGTTTTGTTTGATCACCTCCAGTGTTTGTTTCAATAGCTTTCAAATACGTTCATTTATCATCTCATAACACCCACAATGGCTGATATTAAAGAAATTAATCAAACAACTTGTTGCAAATGTTTGCTTGTAAGATATAGCTTTCTGAAGAACAAATCTTTCCCGTCTTTTTCAACTTCCAGATTATTCTTATTATTTTAAAATCCAAGTAAACCCGATGGACTGAAGACATGAAAACCAGCTTGCTTCCCTTGTATTCCTACAGACTCTTTAGCTGCTCCTGGCTCTGCGGACACCCAGCGCGACACTTGACCTGATTTTCTGCAGTGCTGAGCATTCACAACTGTGACTGAGCTGACGGGCTGCAGGCGTGCCGTCACTCACACGGCAAATCATTATGGTCTGACTGCACAC